ACGCTGACTTGAATGGCCCTGACTGGCCCTAGGATGCGGTCATTACATTACAGCCGGAGGTATGAAAGGAGGTCGGATTTTTTTGGCCCTCCCCACGGCTTATCTTTCAATTAATCTATGTAAAGTAGAAACGCCGGGCCATCGGAGCGTTTGGTCACATTTGGAGCGGTTCAAAACTGCGCCATCAATTCTCTCCGCGGCTTCGCATAGCCTTGGTGCTGAAATCCGGGCTGCTGCGAGCGATGCCATCATTCGGCATGATGACAAACTGTCTGTCGTAAAACCATCTTCCGATGTCGCAAACGCTGATATATGGACGGTTCGCGCGTGGCCTGTTTGCAATGGAGGTAAGCCGGATACTTTTAGCGGCCCCGCGATTCGATCGGCTGCCCAAACAGAGGATCACGCCCCATTCGTGGAGAGTAATCCCCCCGGGGTGGCCGCGGGGAATGGGAGGCTGCACTGCACGTTATTGATGGTAGACACGGCCCCAACAGCATACAGAGCTAGCTAGCGTCCTTCGCAGACTTCTCAGAGCGGCGGCGTTTATAGTTTTCAGGGAACCTTGATACGCGTTTATTTTTACACGGGCTAAGGTTCTCTAATGCAATAGAAGGAGTTATGGCCCGGGGGGAGTTACGCCTCTCCAAGAGCGCGGACGATAGAGCTCCCCCGCGGATACAGCTCTCCCCCAAACAGCACCCCCACCCCGAACCCAATCCGTTAGAAATATGCACAGGGGACTAATACAGAGCTTTGTGCCACGGACTTTTTGCTTGCTTTTCCTAGACCTATGAAGCCCTATACTATGCAGGATACAGGTCAAATCAAGCGCATGGGGACAGGGGCTCGATGGTGATGGAAACTTTCCACGGATGGTCTTGTTTTTGTTTCACAGCGCTGCGCTTGCCCTGTATTCAAGTATTAAAGCTAGGTTATCACTTGAACGTTATGGAGCAGGAGCGCAAGAAAATGTGGGCTTCCTTTGCATGAAATATTGAGAACTGCGAGTCGAGTAATTCAATATGGATGTACTCAGCCTGTGCGATTTGTAGCTATGAATACTAGCTGGGATACAGACAGAGTTGATTTTCACTTCCAGATTATAATTCGCCGTTGCAGTTTTTTTAGCGGAGTCAAGTAACTTTAATCACTGCCATTTCCAACATCAAGTTCCCCTCGCTCGTTTGAACCGATACGATGCCACCATTTTCTCCCCGCCGGCTTGGAAGCGTCATAAAACGTACTTTATTCTGCTCGGAAATGGGGATCGACGTGCCGCCTCGCCTCCCGCTGGGCCCCATGCGAGTGTGAGGTGAGAGATCCGGGCGGATTTCTGCACCAGCGTAGTCTCCACCAGACTAACAACACGGGTTACAAAACAGGGGAAATTTAGCCAAACAGGAGATTCCGAAGTTAAGCCACCGTGGAGTTCATTTGCCAGCGTAGTTAGGGGAATATGAAACCCTAACGGTGGGCCGTCAGACCCTATTTTTGCTGAGTTCTACCATCCTAAGCCCCTTTAGGACGTCCTGGTGGAGGTTAGCACCATCGCACGGAGCCATTTACAGAGCCCTACAGACCTGCTCACGGCTAGGTTTACGATATAAGACCTTGTAACATGAATTAGTTTTGTGTTTCCCACCATGGTATTCACCTCCAGTAACCAGTGCAAATCTGGTGCCTAAAAGCTACTTCAGCAGCGTTAAGGTTAAAAGTTAGAGTCGGTATAATGATTCCTACCTATTTTCAGATTTCGAGCTAAGTGATCCAACAAACAGTTTAAGAATGTAAAAATGAAGTTTATGAAGACACGGGTATCTTCAACATCATATTCTAATGATACCGATATGCATTGCACAAGTACAAGTATGTTGATAAACTGAGCGAAGAAATACAAAGTTTAGTAAACAGTTGTTTATTCCATCAGAAAATGATGATTGAAAATCCCGAGGGATCATTTCAAAGGTTCCATCTTGTTGAGTGTATCCGTTTGCGATAACATATACTAAAGGTGCATTCAATGCACTCTGCAACCCGGTAGGTTTGGCTGGAGTGATGAGCTGGGTCATTCTGGTTCCCTAACTACTCTTCTCCTGGAGGGGTGTGTGCCTCCCAAGAGATGACCATTCTGAGTCACCTCCGGTCTTTGCTCTTACATCTTTCTCCTTTCCTGGAAATCTCTCTGGCCACAGACCACTTCCTGCTACATTACTCACCAAGCAGACCATCACAGTTTGCTATCAGTCAATGTCTTGTCTCAATAAAATGTCGTAATGAAGCACGCGCAACATTTTGACACCGCCCCCTATGTCCTGTCTTGCGCCGAAGACTTGTTGCGGAGCCGACCGGCCGTTCTATTACCCATTATCGTGGCGTCACAAATCGCGACCGCAAGTCTGTATGTAGTGTGGAGGTCAAACGGCGACCTCTCTACACTGGTGTGAGTTTTTGGGGAGCGGGGTGCCACTGAACATTATGGCATTGCGTTGTACAGCGAAGGCCCCAGAATGGGAACTATTCTAGTCCCTAGTTGGTGCGACTTTACCGTTGTCAGCTGTTCTCGGAGCTTGAGCTGGTCAACTCCCCGTTTTCTTTGTTGATTTCTTTGTGAGTTACTCTTGTGACTTTCTGGTGTAAGCGAATTTTTGAGATTGAGGTGTGGGAAGGTATATCTTTTTAAAACTATAGCCTTCATTGGCCATACGCATTTCAGTTTCGTAGCCATAGCCCTGTAGCGACTGAAAAAATGACGAGTCGCTCGATATTCAGTCTCCATAACCATGCCTATCCTGGATCCCGATCTCCCTCTGCGCTATGTCTGTTCCATCGATTCTGTGGCTGAACCAGAATTCGCCAGGCAAAACTGCATGAAAGTCTCTTTGACACAACTTTTCTTAATCATATTCCTATTTAGGTGTTGGGGCCGCTCAATGCCTATCAGGACGTACGCACTCCCCCGGCTTCGGAAATCTATGACCCTCTGTCTCCTGGGTAGGGAACTGTCAGGCGATAAAGTCGCTGTTTATTCACACAGGCTCTCCCTGGTGCCTGAAGCTTAACGCTGCAGCCCATATGGAACTGGCAAGTTCATTTTCAGACGCCTCATTTTCTGGCGTATACGCCAGCACGTAATCTAAAATGACACGAACAGAGGCGGTTCGTCAAACCTGGCTTTGTAGAGGATACGCGGTGTTTTTGTAACGCACGATGTCATTAAAAACAGAGTAACAGTCCAATATTGTTGGGAACGAGGTGCGTGTAGTAGACGCTGGCCATGCGCGTGTGCAGAATGACTCTCGGTGTATTATTTCATATGCAGACCCAAAATCGTCTCTGCGGAAGGCAGTTGCAGTTTGGTCGCGCCCTTTTGTGGTGCCAAGCCATTTCTACTGAGTGCTCGCTAATGCTACTCGTCCTACTGCCGTCTGTAACAGCTGCTTACTTTGCACCGGTGTAGCTAACCTAAAACATAAGGTGCGTAAAAAATATATTGGGTGCACAAAAAAATAATTTAAATGAACCCAAATTGTATAGGTACAGTAACTTCAAAACGCTGAATCATTATAACAACCGAGGAGATTGTATGAGGTACTTTAATCAGGACTACGACAGAAACTGTGCAGAGTTGTACGTATAGAGTCGCTTATGCAATCCCCATCTTCCTGAATTGCCTCATGTCATCAGTCTCTAATTCATGCTGGCTGCCGGTCAGATTCTGAAACATTCACGTTCACCCCATTTCCTGTGTCTGGCCTATCGGCCAGTGATTCTGCCTGCTAATCTTCCCCACCCACCGGCACGTTTGACTGTGTAATAGCAAAAATGCCGGCTTGGGTTTTGGGTCACAGTTTATTTCGCCTGCTCTATCAGCGTACCTTACATGCAATTCCGCAACTCCGCAGCCCAATCTCAGCATCTTACCCGCCCCAGGCCATGAAAACGACGTCTCGAATTTTTCTTCGCCGCCGAACCAGATACTGACTCATCAGTTGTATCCCCTACCTCTGTAGCTTAACTCCGAGGTATGCGTCAATCCGTGCCAAACCCTTGCCTACTGACTCCCTATCTATGTTGTTCATTATGTTTCACTCCAAACCATGGTATGGAGTAAATATATTGTTTTCTCAGGTATTTCTTGTCCTATCCTTTGCCTTCTCCTGCTCCTGCCAAATGTTCAAAGGAGTGGAGTAATGTTAGGATCTGGCATGCCGGCAAGATTCTGAATCTCCGCGTATTCAACAACGTAGACCTGCCCCGGGCACGGTTTTTGGATGCGCGTGGATTATCCAGAACCGTGTTTGAGCACGGATCTGGATAAAACACGGTTCTAGATACAACAGACCTTCCAGATGCGGCCGACGTTTATTTTATTTTGGGGAGAGTTGTTCAATATGGGCTATGGTTCTCAATGCCTTACGCCTAAAATTAGCGCTTCTTCCCAGAATACACGCCGCTGAACATCGCAAATCAGCGCTCTTAGAAAGAAAAATGCCGGCCGCATCTAGAATGTCTGCGCAGGAGGCTAAAGCTTGTTGGAAGTCTGCGGGTGTGTTCGGCGTCCCATGCCGGCCGCTCCGGGAGGATCCCAGCCTAATCAAGGCCTGTGTTGCTCGAGAAAACGTTCCGGGCCCGTCTCTTTCCCTTCCCGAGATTACAACAAGCTCCTATACGTCTGGGTTGATAATGTAGGGGTGTCTCTGGAAGTCTACTTTTTTTCATTCCTCGCGACGGATATCGCTTCAGGATTCCGCCTTCGCAGCCCCCATTAGGGTTGTTCCTCGGCTGCTGATTGTATTTGGCACGAGAGAGAAGGCAGGAATTAGATAACGGTCCCCGGCAAGTGTATTGGATATCTATCAGCCCGCCTCAGCCGGCGATCTGGAGATAAATCAGTTACCCTGGCAGCGCGGGGCGGTTTGGGAGGCAGTCGCCGCCTGCGGGGTGGGGGATGTTCCGTAATCCACGCACATTTATATCTGTCTTCTCCGGTCAGGTTATCAATGATGCTGCTCAGGATGCCCCGGAGTTTTTTTTAGAACATCCTTTGGACTCAAAACGAAATGCATTGTGCATTTATATGTGTCTACTCTGGTCATGTTATCGATGATGCGCCGAGTTTTTTTAGAACATCCTTTGGAGACCGAAACGAATAGATCGTTCTCGATTGAACACTATAAGCCCCGCCCCCTATTTTATAAACCGTTTCCGATCGAACACCATAAGCCCCGCCCCTGTTCTATAGATCGTTCAAAATCGAACTCCATAAGCCCCGCCCTCTGTTCCATGGACCGTTCCCGGTCGAACACCATAAGCCCCGCCCCTGTTCTATAGAACGTTCCCGATCGAACACCATAAGCCCCGCCCCTGTTCCATAGATCGTTCAAAATCGAACTCCATAAGCCCCGCCTTCTGTTCCATGGACCGTTCCAGATCGAACACCATAAGCCCCGCCCCTGTTCTATAAACCGTTCCCGATCGAACTCCATAAGCCCCGCCCCTGTTCAATGGACCGTTCCCAATCGAACTCCATAAGCCCCGCCCTCTGTTCCATGGACCGTTCCCGGTCGAACACCATAAGCCCCGCCCCTGTTCCATGGACCTTTCCCGATCGAACACCATAAGCCACGCCCCTATTCCATGGACCGTTCCCGATCGAACACCATAAGCCAGATCTCGATCGAACTCCATAAGTCCCGCCCCTGTTCTCCTTCAAACACAACTGATACACGGTCTATTGGTGGAGTTTTTTTTAGAATCTTTAGAATGAATACCCCGCAGGTATTCATTCATTCAGACAAAACGTTACATTGAAGACGAGGCAATATAAAACTTTCAAACTTTATTGCAAACTCTTGCCCGAAGGCTAATTGCAAGGAAACGTACAGTTATGATAACGTACATAGACGTAAAATGTGTCTAGACATACATCTATCTGTATATCAAATGTTTAGTATCCAGTCTTTTTATACTGCTGCGGGGGTCATTGACACAGGAGTGGGCAGCAGTCTGTTAGTTCAAGTAACACATATACAAGTCCTACAACGCCAGCGACATTTAGCAAAAAATACCAAAACCTGTTTAAGGAAAGAGACACATCCATATCAACATCTCTCGCTAAAGATTACCTTATCATCATCCCCAAAACTTTGACAAGGTTGAAACTTCGCAGACGCAGGTGTCGACCTTGGTTAGAAAAGACCCGCGGTGTCCCTGTGGGTTGGTTAAACGTGAAAAGCGCCAAAAGAGGCTCTGATGTTGCGCTTTGCGAGAGCCTGGCGGAGAATCGATCACACAGGCCGAGATGTGTCATCCAGCCTTTCAGGAACTCTTCGCCGCATCCCAGTCGAGTGGGACTCGGGGACCGTTCGTTTGTGTCCGACGCACAAAGACGAAGCGAAAAATCAACTTCACCATGTATGCACTACATCGTGCGTGCATAATGAATGTATTCCAGTGGTGAGCGACTCTGTACCAAGAGGTTGTGAGTTCGAATCCCAGCTGTTGTTGCTCACCGGCGTCATGTACGCTACTGGAAACGGATGCAGTCCTTAGGTTTTTGGGACATCAATCCGTGGTCAAGTGTTCATTGCGCTTGTCGCAAAGAGCCAGGGGAATTTTCCCGGTACAATGAACCTGTAAATAATGGGCACATCTGTCTTCTCTGTCACAACCAGTGGAAGAGTGGCTCAACTGCTCATTGATCATTGAGCAGCTACATGGACATTTTCGACGGAATCACTTGGTCTTCTTCAGTTGTCTGACCCAATCGCTAAGGACACGTGACGTCATGCACGTGTGACGTCAGTCCAAGGGGTAGCGACAACAAACGGACCATATATATAAAGGTAACTATCTCCCCCTTGAACCTCTGCTTGGAGAGTATCAAACAGGCCCTTAAGCTCCTCCGTTTGGCATACATAACGCACCGTCCCTGTGACAACGCGTAGAAATCCTCTCCCTGCACCGTAAGAGGACCATCTCTGCCTGCCCCGCGCAGCGCGCTCTCCAAGCGTGCACACTCACTCAGGTAGGCCGATTTACCCCGCTCCCCAAGTTTTACGCGATGACAGAAAACGCATTAGAGCCCGGGGAGAGCTCTCTTCAGTCACGCAGGCAGACGCGGCGTGCATGCCGATTAGCCCCTCCCCCCAGCTCTTCAGTATCTCTCCCCTAATGCCGATCTATTTAGACGTGCTTGGGCGCTAATGCCTGCACCCCCGGTACACGTCAGGATCGCTTTAGTTGCACCTGGGGTATCTGGGGTGCACAGGTTTATATCGGGAATATTGCGAGCCTTTTACAAAAGTTCCTTGGTCTAGCTTTCTAGCCTCCACCAGGCCTTCTGCGGATCGCCGATGACTAGCCAAAAAGGAAGAATTGAAAAATAGTTTGCATAAAAACACCCGTTCCACTAGAGGCTGTAACAGCTGAAGGGCCAAACACTTTGGAATATAGAATGAATTTCATTGGAAAAAATTACGTATTGTGTGTTTTGTTGTCTTCCAAATCGTGCTTTTGCATTGTGAATCATATTCCAATCAAATTCAAGCGGGTCACCCAAATCCAATTCTGGTCGCTCAACGATCCCGGTCAAGTGGAAACGTAGCCTTACAAGGTTATTTCGTTGAGAAACTACACGCACAATTCGGAGAGACCCCTTCAATCCGGCGGGGCGCAGCTAAAGAGCTCCCGTGAAATGCTGCGTCGGTGAGTAATAAAGGGCGGCCGGAGTTGGCGCTCGTCTGCTGCACACGGCACGCCAGCCAAACTTTTATCACGCCCAGACCCTCCCGCACGCTGGCGCCGGTACAGGCCGGCCGGGCGCACAGGGGATGCCGGGGAGCCTCTAGTCTCCAACAGACTCCTTTGCAGGTTCAAAAATAGTAGAAATCGGCCTAAAAAGGTGATTTAATTGGCCAGGGGAGTCGGCCGGCCAGAGAGAGCCTAGTTGCCTACACGGAAAGGACCCTCTCTTTCCGGCCAACTCCTCCGGCCAATTAAATTGCCTTATTAGGCCGATTTCTGCAATTTTTCAGCCTGCAAATGAGTCTGGTGGAGACTATGGAGCCTCCACCACCACCACCTGTGCCTGCACGAAATCAGGATTTTTACGGTTTTCGTTGGATTTTTGGTTAACGATGCTTCATAATTTTGTCCGTTGCCGACGATGTCTTTTACGACACAACATTCGAGAATTACAGACGGGGGGTTGTCATCCTTTTAAAAATACGCGAATTTAATACGACCTCAAACTAGACGTTCTGCCGAAGTGCTATGCACAATATACATTACGGGCTTCGCGCAGGTGCAGTACGTTCTGCCGACGTGTTATGTCAGGTCACCCGGTTAGTTCCAAGGTCAGGCTTTCAGCGCGAACACCGAGCCCGACTCTGACGGCTGGAGGGGAGATATTCGGGCGGACATTTGCGGGAATGAGCTCCGGGTCCTGACCTTCGTAAACAACTACTGCGCCTTTTTCACGCGGCGAGGGAAAGTCAGTTGTGTGTTTCTTGCATCTCAGTTATTCACCAGTGACTAGATGAAAAAGACTTTGATTTTTTGTCAAACTTTATTATCATTCAAAGTATAAGAATACAAAAAATGAATACATAATACAATACTAGTACATATGTACATAGATAAAAAGACATTGATGTATATAGATCAACGTCTTGAACAGATTCCCATGTAAAATTTGCACCTAAAAACAAAGTACGGTAACAGCTTTTATGTGCAAATTTGTAAATAGAATTTTTATCTGCAATGCATTTGTACTACTGTACATGTCTTCTTTTAAAAACTCCAGGAAGAATACCCTTTGTATTTGTATTTTAGATGTGTGTGAAAGCTATTGGAGTAATTAAGTATCCAAGTAAATTTTGTGTCTAATTGTGTATATCTGATTTAAGAAAGAATATATATATATCCTTGCCTTCATGGCCCTCGTAAGCGTGCTTTTATAACCCACGAATGGACGGAAAATCAAAGAGAAAACAGGGCGTTTTACAGGAGAAATGCGGCCATTTATCATGATTCATCCTGTAACAAAAAAGCGCCGGCGGGAGCCGGCTTGCCGGTCTGAGCATCAGCACAGACGACAGGTGTCACATCCGGGACCTAACCCGGGTCTCCGAGTGATGTACTCTGGGAATCCGCGGCTCATCTGATGGCAGAACGTTATTGTGACCTGTCAATCATCCCGGGTTCCCCCAGGTGTCGCTGGAAACGGCGAAGCAGCGCAGGTCCATTTGCAGAGCTTTACTAGGAGGGCGGATGTGGAGCTTGTGCTCTGTGTTTTCCGATATAGAGGGGCACTGTGGGGTAAACTCATGGCACGGGTGTTTGCTAGTCTTCACTAGACTAACACCACGGGTTTAGAAACAGTAAGATTTAGCTAAACTGGGAGAATCTTTGGTCATGGGAGTTAATTTATTAACTTTATTGCGCATATTAGTGTACAAGGTATGACATAATATTGCATTTACTGCTATATAACAACATACTATGATACCTAGTACCTATCTACCTTGCAAAAGACGTTGTAGTATGGGATGGGAATTAATATGTGCTTTACAATTACTGGCGGAATTTAACGTATAGACATTCAAAAAATAATGTATTGTACATGTGCAATGCAGGCTTGTCCTTGCCTGGATTTGCTATTTGAGTCTAATGGAGAAAAATGCTGATATCTCGGTGAAAGTTTATTTTCTTTCGGACAGCGTCACACAGCGATATGTCCACGGTTTACAACCAGCTCTCAAAAAGGGACGACGCGTATTCATATCAAGGCTTTTATCACACACTCTCTCTGTTATATGCAGAACTACTGTGCTTTATCCTGAACCATACTCAGGCGCGGTTTTGGATTGTCCGGTCCACGCGTTTTCAGAACCGTGTCTGTGAAAAATCTACGTTCTTGGATACGCGGAGACTATCCAGAACCGTGCCTGATCCTAACCAATTCAGGCATTGAACTAGATCATAGATATGCGCAGTTCGGGATACAATGCTCCCTGTCCGACCCAGAACCTAACGAAGTCACCCCGATGTCTATCTGTGAGTTCGTTACTCCGCTGTGTGATGGGGCGTTAAAACGTCTCTGCTGGAGGGAGAGCAATTTGGCGGGCTCCAGGGCACTTGATCTGACAGCGGGTCGGCACATCACTTTGCGTGTACGCTGCTAACACAAAGGCACATCGTGACTCGGGCTTCGGGAGCGTTCAGAATTATACAGCTTTCCTGTATCTGTATCTGTATAGCCGGTATAACCGCTCTTCGTCGTAATACACCAGTTTCTGCATTTGCATAACCGGGCCGGGATAACCGCCCTTAGTCGTGGCACACCAGCTCAGTTTGTATGCACGTGTATCTGTATGTGTGAAGCCAGTATAACCGCCCTTCAGTGTAACTCACCAGCATATCTGTATAGTGAGTATAACCGCCCTTCGGCGTAACACACCAGCTTCTGTATCTGTACTGGCCGGTAGAACGGCCCTTCAGCCTAGCCTAACACACCAGCTTTGCAGGGATGCGGCGCGGCGGCAGCTGGCTATATTACACTAAACGACCTGTTACACCCATTCTTTGCACATCTTTGCATATCTTTATTTTCAACTTTAGAGGCTGACAATTGTGTGGTGTGTTAAGTGACTTAATTAGCACGATATCTGCTGTCTAACATACGATATATGATATGCAAAGGTACTTTCGCATATCGCTGCCGTTAATTTGGGTGGTGGTGGTGGCTTACAGTGCCCCGGGTAGGTTGATTACAGTCATAAGGGCTGTGAACAAGCTCTAGAACCGACAAACAACACTCGAGTGTCATGTAGACAACACGGGGTGTCCGGTAGACCCTTCAGGTCCTTCTAACACGGGCACATTGCCGCTGGGAACAGGTAAAGACGTCAGAGGGATGACGCGCTTGAAAATAAAGTCATTACGCTCTATCATGAGATAAAGCGAAACCACGGCAACAGTGGATAACAAAATAGCCGCAGCATATAGCTATAGCCGCAGCATATGGACAGTTGGGTTCTGTTCGTGAGAATGACGAATACTTTAATTTGGTTTAGTAAACGATTTATTTCAAGGAAAGGCACTTAGGCCACAGCAAGTAATTGTTATGGATGACATCAGCGGGCGCATTAATTTTCGCCTGAATTTGGGACAAAAAAATCAAGAAAAAAGTTTGTTGCCCTCTGACAGTGGCCAGCATGCCGAAAATGGGCAACGATGTCTGATGGCAAAGAAATATGAAGAGAGGAGACAAGGAACCGAAAAGAAACTGCCGCTCCAGCCGCTCGTACAACCAAACGCTGCCCCGCTAAAAGTCGGCGCAAGAGGCTGAGTGTGCTACCGCTAAATCGAAACAAAGACGACTCCATCAAACTGAGATATCAAGAACCATTGGGCGGGCCGCGTGTTAAAGCTTAGCTAACTACTCTAAACATTATCAATGGCAGTGCGGTCTCTATTGAGTAGGTAACGTATAGCCCTAACAGCCCCGTACGGGACATCTTGCCATCCCGGTACCGCATGATATACTAGTACTTTGCCGCACCCACGGACCGAGCACCGCGAAAATTACAGCTCTAAAGTCAACCTCGGAACAACACATAAAACACAGGGAATGATGGCTATCTTACTACATGGCTTTCTCTTTTACTTCTACATCAAGGTGCATCCACAAAATAGAAGACGCAGGGCTTGAAATGCTTTTTCTGCATTTAAAAAAAATAGCCTGCACTAGACAACTTTTACGTGCACCACTCGTACTAAAAACTGTTCAGAAACCATTGCCCTTATTTCTTTTATACTTCATACAGTAGGTGGTAAAAGTCAATGCAACAAATAATAATGCACGTACACCTACACCTACATTTACAACATGCATGTATAAACCCAGTACATGAACAAGTGGAGGTTATATTTTAGATGCAGGTAGACATCATAAATACCTGCACAGTTCCAAATATACCTGCACTAACCTGCCTATACCCAGTACATGGACCAGTGTATGTTAGGTGCAAGTTGACATCAGAAATTTACCTCCACTAACCTGCGTATGCAGGTGGTTTTTCGAGTCCTGATACTATACTAGTAAGTATAGTTTATGTACAACTGTGTGTTTGAGGAGATGGGCCAAATCCAAGCGAGCTGCAGACGAGAAAGTATCGCTCTCCTCGGGGTCAAATAAAGGACACCTCGCTGAGACGAATGAAGTGCAATTTTCCCAACTTATCTTTTTCGCAGATAAATACTTTCGACAGCGGGAATAAATCCGCTATCAGCGATTTCGGCGGTGTTGAAGTGATGTTCATATTTTCACACGGGATGCGGCTGATTGATGTAGATTTTGGGGGTAATCTATGAGGTATACCTATGGGAAGGCAGGCACTAAGGAAGGAGGGTGATATTGGTACGCAGATGTTACTCGTACTTACGTGAACCCTGAGCACACCGACAAACTTTCTACTCGTTTTTGGAAGGGAAGCAGTTACGCGTACGATGGCTTTATTTTCGGTGTGTTGGTTTGTATGTTTGGTTGTGTTTCCGCAGTTATTTCCACGCCACGTCACCATACATGTACACAGGTGCAAAATGATATTAAGAGACTAGTTAATGATCAAACAGGACAAGGTGATATTACTGTAGGGAATATGTCTTTAAAATGGGACTCTGAACATTCAAGGCACAAGGTACTTATATCCATACTGTTTAAACAAGGAGCTTTCATCACAGTAATGCACTATTTTTTGTCTGCAGATTGCGGAGACGTACGCGTTCCTTCCCCGCGAGGCGGTGACTCGGTTCCTGATGTCGTGCCGGGAGTGCCAGAAGCGGATGCATCTCACCAGCACCGCCCAGGACGATCACGTGACCTCCAAGTCTGCCCAGATCGACTTCAACCTGCCAATCATGGACCAGGTGCTTCACGGGAAGGGTGAGCGGGGTCAGGAGCAGGTAAGGCTTTGGAAGTAAATGTTGTGTTTCCCGTAATAACCGAAAAAAAAACTGCCCCGTAGTCTTATGGCTTCTGGTGCAGTTTGACTGCATTTGTTGAGAACTGATCCTGACTCTGTATCTGTACAGCGGGTATAACTGCTTCCGTGTAACACACGGCTTTGCAGGCAGGCGGCGCGGCGGCAGCTGACCGAATGACCTGTTGCCCTTTGCTTTTTTAAACTATGTTCCCCTGTTGTACTTTGTGGCAGCGAGTTCCACTTTTCTTAATTGATAAGTCTGGTACTTCAAGACTTGACTATTTCTTGCCCTTTTCTAAGCTGGCAATTCACAGACTTAATCCTGTAACAAGTACCCCGTAATGCTGAGGTCACAATTCCCATACAGGGCTCGGCCGGACAGCTTTTGGGAACAAAAAGTACGATATAAAACACAGAAGAGATTTTAATAATAATAATGGGCGCTATTTGTGTATATACTTGATATGAAATGTTAATTTTTCGTTCATACAAACAGCCCGGCCGGGCCCCGGTTTGTAAATGTGACCTCAGCATAAGTCGGCGCGCTGTGTAAAATGATCGATGCCTCACACACAGACACACACGTGTCCGGCTTCGTGCCGAATTGACTATTAATCGCGCAAGGTTCCCGGCGAGGCTGAGGGGTCGTCCGGGGATTTGGGCGTGATTGAGTCTAATTTGGGATAATCTCATGACTGACTACACACACAGCAGCCCGCGCCGCCAGGGTTTAACATGCGCCGCCTCGCGCCAGGCGGGAACAGCCCATTTAGTACTGCTCCGCAGGCGGCCTCCGTTAGCCTCAAGCCTACATCAGGCCTTCCTACGGCGGTGCCGATCGCAGAATTCGGCAGAAAATAGGACGAATATTTGGCCAGGAGAGCCAGTCCGCTGGAGGGTTGATTTCCCCCTCCCAAGTGAGCAAATGTGAAGTCTACGGTGGCCAGACTCCCCAGGCCAATTATTCTCCCTGTTTGGCTGAATTTTGCTGTTTTTGAATCCACGTTGTTACTCCGGTATAGACAAAATTCCCTCGGCGTACGCTAATCGAACTGAGCGGGCGGGCGGGTGGGCACCACTCCAAGTACCGTAGAGATCACGGGAAGCCCACGATGTCATCAGGATATCCTTCTGCATATATTTTTGCAGCATTGACGACTCTGAACTTTTCTGCATACACCCAGCATACCCGCAAGGTGGCGCTGTCAGATATTTCGCTTTTCTCTCACAGCAACCAACGTCAAGGGCACGCAGTATTTCCCGATACGTGAACGAATGTAAACAGAGGCGGTAGAATATCCACACTAACCTAGGTATACGACAAAGAGTACAGTTAATTCCATCTCAGAAAGGAGAGAAACAACAACAGCAGTGGGAAGCAATCAATGCATGCTGGTTCTTATACAGCCCTAAAAATTTAGAGTCGGTAAGTCTTGTCTTTTTCCTTTTCATTTAGATTTTGGTTGAACTGATTTAGCGAATGCGTCGACCAGGGTTGTCTCCAGGACCGGTCCCCTTTCAAGTTTGTGGGGAAGGGACAAATATTTCATCGGATTTTCTTTTTAAAAAAGTAACGTTTCAAAGGTCAGAAATTCACATGTCAGGAGAAGAAAAGGTATCTGAGTTTTGTTGGCAGATGTTCATATATTTCATTCGAGGTCCGTGTTGTTGGTCGTTTAGACCCATTGCTGTGTGTTAGCTAATCTACTGCACCTTTTTTATTTATTTACTTTTATTAAGAAGCCATGGGACGGTAGGAATTATCCCGTGCAGTCTATATTGTAAGATTACCCCCATTTTCCCCCGTCCTGTCGATAACGCCAGCCCGGCAGCCTGTCATCACTCGCCCGTGCGCGCTTGTCATTAATTATTATGTCTCTACAAAAAATAGACAATTTAGTTAAATATCACGCCTTTTAAACTGCCTTGCGGGTCATTACGCCTTGGCGCGTGTAATTACCGAAATAGGCCAGTCCTACGTACACGAATGGCTTCTTTGAACACGGAGAGAAATGGGCGTAAGTGGCCTAGTTTTCGGCTGAGCCTTGTATAGAGTGAAGGGGTCAGTGCGCGGACGCGTATGTAGGCCGCGTCGTGACATTTTGTGTCCGTTGGAACAGAGATTAGTGCGGAGTAACAAGACGGACGCGCGGTCCCCCGGCTCCTGACCTCAGAACCAATATGTCTGTGGACGGTTCTATTATTCTTCAAGCAGAGGTTGGTTTGGAAGATCGTGCCTTTCCGCTATGTTAGCCCCACTAGGCCTTCAATTTCAATTTATTCACAGACAAAATCATACAAAAGCAGGGGTTAACAAATGCACCGCTGAATTGTGCATTTGATTTTTTTACAAACGATTGATATTAAAAACCAAGACAAGTAAACAACACACACTAACGTTATATACATGTACAAGTCGACGTTCAATCTAAAGCGGGTTAGGATGGCGCGCGCGCACACAGGGACACCGGACGCACGCACACACACACACACACACACACACACACGCATACGTACACACACACACACACACACACACACACACACACACACACGAACACACACATACACACAAACACACGTTCGATATGGGTTCCCCGGCCTGTACGATAACTAGCCGTATCCCATGGGGTTCTAACGTTTTAAATATATCAGATAAAGAACAGTCCTGACAAGCCCATAACGAGTGGGCGAATAGGGCTTTAATCCAATCATCACGTGGCGCGGCCGGCTCAACTTCCTACCGAGTTGTCTTTGATTCATAATGACAATTTGCGTCAGTAACATCACTGCAACTTAACGCTTACAGCCATCCACGTAGGCAAGGCGGCTGGGGCATTTACGGGCGAAAAGATGGCATATCACTCTGTATCTGTATAGCCGGTATAACCACCCCTCGACGTAACACTCCAGCTTCTGTATCTGTACAGTCGGTACAACTGCTCTTCGGCGGCGTAACACACCAGCTTCGCGGGCACGCGGCGCGGCGGCAGCTGGCTGCATTACACCGAACGACCTGTCACACACAACTAACCCATTTTCTGACAGCCTGGCTATTGAATAGTGTCTAGTCTATTGGATACTGTCTTGCCTATTGCATGGATACTGTCTTGCCTGTTGGATAGCGTCTTGCCTATGTCTAGCCTGTTGGACAGTGTCTTGCCTAGAACACTGATAATACATACATATGTGTTAGACTATAAGAGAAATTGATGGAGTTTTCTGTGCGCGCATGCATTGAGAAAATTGTACCGCGCATTTGCCTTCCAGCCTACCCCCCGTGATGTATATTGCACTTTGGATTACGCCGCGCGCACTAAATACTAGATAACAACTACTGTATGAGGACGGCGTGTGGCACTACAGTACATACTTAGCCAGACCTTCCTACGGGGTACGGATCGTAGAATTCTGCCAAAAAAGAGAAAGAATAATTGGCCAGGAGAGTAAGTCCGCGGGAAGGTTAATTTTTCCCCTCCGAAGCCGGCCAACCCTAGCCTGGGTGCCATCCTTGCACTCGCTAAGTCGAAAAAAAAATGAAAATAACGGATGGCTCCCAGGCTAGGTCAACCCCTTTGGTAGCCAAACTCCCTTGGCAAATTTTTAGCCAGCGTAGACAGTCTGGTAGACACTACTGCTCCAATCGATGACGTGCCTATTCTTACCCTAAGTCTGCGGGCCTGCACTGTTTTTTTTCGGCATTTCTGCTAACACGACAAAGAGCATTTCAAATATCCCATTGTAAAATGAACGCCAAAGGTGTTTTCTTGAAGCTTGATTAACAAAAGGAAGTCGGGTTTTTCCTTCCGTACGGTGTACAGTTTCAAGAAGTGGGACAAATTGCACCCCGGTGTCCGGCGGCGGCCATTAGCGCACAATCAACCACCTGTTACCCAGGCAGCCTCGCTTTGGGGCCGGAACATTCCATTGCCGCTGGAGGGCGGGGGTGTAAATCTTGTGGCCATGCAAGCAATGTGCTTTTTTTTTTAACACGGACTAAACTTGTAAGAGAACGAAGTATGGGTACACAAATCTGCTTTGCAGTGAAGGTAGATGACGGTGATTTCTTGTTGCTCTGATTTTGTCGACGCGAACGCTTTTCATGGCGATATATGAAGCGGTTTTCTGTCACAGTGCCAGAGGGTCCAGGGGTGACCCGTTGTTGTTGTGAACGCTTACAGAGGTACAGAGGTTTTTTTCACAGAGGACTGCACTAACAGTTGTTTATATATAAGGTGATTGTTGTTGAAAAACAGGCAAGCCTGTAACTGTAACAAAATGCGCCGAGTGTCCTGGGTGTTTTTGTAAATAAAAAAAAACGGCTTGAGGTGGCGTACTATACCCAAGAAAGGGCAACAAAAGAATCACGAATGGCCAGTCTTATTTCACAAGAAGAGATTGCCCTACTGTCCTACAAGAGTACACCTTAAAAACTGAAGGTGACCGTCTTTGGGATTTTCATTGCTGCGTTACACAGAGATTACTCTGATGCTTGGTATCGTTGCGTAAACAAAACATGATACAACCAAGCACTTGGAAGGCACATAGGGGCATACCTACTTGCGCCTTATATAATATAATGCACAATGAATCCATATCTGTTCTAACCTGGGTGACTTTTCTGGAGGATTATTCCTAGACTTCCATGATCTAGTCGCTTTTGAAGTAAGGAGCATTGGAGCCTTCCATTATATTTCCTAGCCTCCCATAGAATAGCGGTGTAGACAGCTGACCGCACACTGGACCTGATACGAGTCCCTCCCTGCCTCACCTGACCGCGGCCATGCTGCAGATGTATTCCTGTAATTCCTGTTGATGTTGTTCAGTAGACGGGGTCCGCTGTTTTGCTACTGACTGATATTTCAGCCTCTAGCTCTAGACTCTGTTGTTGTTAGTCGGATGACTGTATTTCTTCCTTAATTACGTGGTAAGATGTAATTTCAGACTAGCATCACAAGAGGTTAGCCAACATGAGTGATA